CCAGGGGAGCCTTGCGCGGCCCCTGCTGCCCCGCCCCGGCCCCGACCTGCCCCGGCCCAACTCCCGTCGTCCGTCGAGGCGACCCTGGGGGGGGCCGGGGGCCGCGCGTTGCCCCCCCCCCCCCCCTACCTCCCTACCCTGTTTTTAGGGTTTGGGGGGTGGCGGTTGTGTGGCGTCGCCTGCTCCTCCTCCTCCTTCGTCTCCCACTGCTGCAGCTGTCGCTGAGGAGGGTGGATGTGTGGGAGTGTACGGAGTGGTGCTAGGGGGGTGGAGTGTGAGTAGAGCTAGGGTTTGAACAGGGGGTGTGTGAAATGGGGGTGGGACAGTTGGGGGAGGTTGAATGGAGGCGGTCGTCGTGTCGTCAGCAGCAGCAGCAGTCCGGAGGCTACAATCTCCGGTAGTCGCCAGTCGCCCGTGGGTCCGTTGCTCGTCTGCCGCTACTTTTAGCCGCGGGGCCAGTTACCCCAGTAGTCCGGAGCGCTGTTCCGGTAGCCACTGAGCCAGCAGCTCGTCTGTGTGTCTGCAGCGTCAGCAGTCGCCTCCCATCTTCTCTCCCCCACAGTCTCTCCTCCTCCTCACTTGCCCTCTGTGATAGCCTCTAGCTTTGCTTACATTTGTTAACTATAAAACTGCTACCTCTTGTACTTGTGCTCAGAATGTGTGGTGACATTGTGATCCACCCTGAGCTTGTTTTCTTTTGCTTGCTCTGCTGATTACACCCCACTTTGGCTATGGGGGTGTGTCAGAATATTATGCTCTAGCCTGTAGTGGGGTGCTCTATAGCGAGTACAACTCTTCTAGGGTTTTGCTATTTGTATCCCCATTCTTGCTAGTGCAAGCCCTCTTCTTTCTTCTAAACTTTGACAAGGTACTAAGTTAAAATTAACTGTGCGTTGCCTACGGCTCCTGGCACAACCGGACGTGCACGTCATTCAACATTGAAGAATAAAAAAGCACTGCTTGCATGTCACTTTGGCGCGCGAATTAAATCACCAATGTTTTGTCCAATCAGATGTCGCTCGCATGTAGAAAACTTAGCGTTACGAAAAAGCATGTATTCGTGACTGCTTGTGATTCCACGAAATTCGAGCGGGTGCCCGGATTTCGGTTAAGAAGGGCGGGAAAATTGCGCGGAAAGTGCGCGCGCAAACGCGGTCCATCCAATTAAGGGAAACGCCCACGTGGCGAGGTCGGAGTAATTTAGGTCGATGCAATTGAGAGAAACATGATTTCCGCCGATGCGCGTCATTTCGCCGACAAATACGTATGTGATTCCGCTCCGCATAGCCGTGCGTGAATCTCCCTCCGCTCCGCCTCCATTTCCATTTTCTCGAAATTCGCGACACTCGCCCCCAGGGGTCTCTTCATCGCGATCTAATCGGAAACCCATCTGGCACAAGCTCCTTCGCTGTATGGAACTGTTTCCTAAGAATGCTGCACCCGACAACATTCTTAACTGATGCTTTCCAGCAACTGATGCTTTCCAGAGACTACTGTTGTTCTTGTTGTCGTCACATCACCAGAAATAACAGTAAGACAAAAAACATAACAAGGCAAAACCTGAAACTGTTGCCAGAAGTCGTGAAAACTGTAGAACAGCGGTGTCCTGAACCCACGACAGCAAGAGCAGTCACCTTCAGGTAGTCGCACGGTTTCGCGGTTGACAACAGGGAGACCATCGATGGCAGTGCTCGACGAATGCCATTGGCTGATGTCTTGTGGTCACTAATCACCTCAGCTCCTTCTCCTTTCCGCGCGCGGAGAGTGAGGTGCAAAACGTTGTTCCCCGCTCTAACAAGCTGGAATGTGCCCTTTTCAAAAGGTCAAGCTTCGCTCTAACTTAGATGCGCGGAAGCCATCATGGCTCGTCTCTCCCTCGCGCTACTACTGCTGCTGCTGGCAGGTAAGGCGTAAGGTTTGTCACAAATGGCTCCTGAAGTGGACACGCGGCATTGTACGTCACATAGTAGGTTTGGTGCACGTACTACTACGGCATAGTACTGCTTGATCCGGAACGTTCGTTCTACGGCTAAGCCCTGGACACCAAGTCCTGCGGAACCCTAGAACTAGGGAATTGCTTATGAACTTGCTGCTCGGAGCCGCTCAAAAGATATATTTTTTCGCCAGCGTACTGACTGGGCTTGGGGTGTTTCTTTCTACTGCTTCTTTTTAGGCAAAGGGTTTCGCTGTTCTTGCTGCTCTGCTGTGCCGTGCTGTGCGCTGCGCTGCGCTGGAGCTGTGTTGCGTGCTGCGTTTATCTCATCCCCTGTGCTCCCTTCCAACGGTGCAGGCCCTTCGTTGGACCTTCTGACCACAACGCGCCCCGGGCCTGCACTGGCCGTAAGTGCACTGCCGCATGTCCCTCCGCTCCGTTCCCGTTTGCTTATTCAAACCCTTTCACGTCATGTGGCAATGATTGGTAGCAACGCAAGTGCGCTGCTGCCGCGTGTCCCTCCCCATTCCCGCTTCGCGTCCGTTTTTTATTTCTGTTCCCCTGCCGCATCATCACCAAAAAGTTTCGGTCCGAAATGCAGCCTGCTAGCTAGGTGGTCCACATTGTGTCCTATGACCCCCGAAAATGTCAAAAAAGAGTCTTACACCCGAAATTGCAGGGCTTAAAAATGTCCGGAAAGTATCCAAAACGCAAAGGATCCTAAATCTGTCCAAAAAAACTCATATTCGCATTATTATGCGGAAGGTCGGGGGATTATTATTAGCCATCCCGTTCAGATCTAGATGCTCCATTTTTTATTGGGTTGCGTAGCAACCCTATATAATCAGTTTCACTTTTTGGGGATATCATTTCAAAGGTGATTTTTAAAGCACTCTTTGGAGCACCCGCTTGAACAACTTTTTTGCCACCGTGTTCAAGAGAACGCCTCCAATAGTGAATAAAAATCACTCGTGAATGAGATCCCAAAAGTGAAACCAATTACACATCATGTTGAAACCATGAATTTGTTCCGACCGTCCCAGCTCGTCGATAAATACGGCGGATGGTTCGATCGAACATGGCATCAACATAAACGGATGCACCTGTACAAACGAACAGGGTATGAAGTGTGATGCGGATGCTTCAAAAAGTGTTACAATGCATCAATGTAGCAATAGAGATTGATGGGGCCGTTGAAACAACGAATACACGCTGCACCAACGACGATGACAACCTCTAGTTGCATACATGATACATTGGAACACCTCGTCTTGAAACACACACATCTCACAAACACGAATGCAAACGTCACGAAAAAAGTTGTGACGACATCAAAATGGATGCTTAATAGGCACCAATGCTACAACTGGGATTGATGGGGTCGTTGAGACAGTGAAAACCCACTGCCCCAACGACGATGACAACCTCAGCTGCAAACACGATGCATACCAGCACCACACCCTGAAATAATCACAACCAACCAACTGATACAGACACAAGCACACACACCCAACACACACATACACATACACACATACACACACACACACACAGATGCATACAGATACTGGTAATAAACACGCAACCATCACGAATTGAATCCAGTTACCATTCATAAATCATCGCTAGCCTATCCCCTCTTCTTTACCCTCCCTACACCCCTCCTTCCCTCCCTCCCTCATCTCCCTCCCACCCCCTCCCTCATCTCCCTTCTCTGCCAAACAAAATCAGAGAATGCAGCTCACGCGCCCTGCATAAAGCAAAAACAGAAAATGAATTTCCACACCCTGCACAAGAAAAGGAAAAAAACAGAGAATGATCACACACTCTGTGCAGAAAAGCAATAACAAATATACTGTAACTAACGTGCCCTGCGAGGAAGCCAAGCAGGAAACGCAACTCACCCGTAGAAAGCAAAGACAAAGAGTACACCTCACAGCATTGCACAAGAAAACAAAAACAGAGAATGCAGCTCACACATGCACTAGAAACGAAATAAGAACAATAGAAAACGTATAGATCAATCAAAGACGAGCAATGGAAATTGGTATCAGTCGTGGTGCCACAGTTCGCCGGGATGATGCAATACCTTGCAGCCACCCTCGCGTTCAGCTTCATCCTCACTCTTGTACTCAATCTCGCACCCACACACACGCTCAAACACTCATTTTTTTTACAAACATACAAATGTACACGCTCATATTTGCACAAACCCTCGCACTCCTGATCGTTCTAATTCACAATAACACTCTCACACCAACATACAGGCGCACGCAAACACATTCACATGCAACCTAGCACTAACACTCGCACTTGCTTTCGCACTCACCCTAGCACACACAGTCGCACGCACTCTCGCTCTCACCCTTGCACGCATACCCACTCATCCTCACAATCTCTCACTCGCTCTCTCATGCGCTCTCTCACGCACACACTCACGCGTACTCTCACGTGCACTCTCACGTGCCCTCTCACATGCTCTCTCACGCAAACTCTCTCGCGCGCTCTCCCTCGCTCTCTCGCGCGCACTCTCATGCACACTCTCACGCGCACTTTCACGTGCACTCTCACGCGCACTCTCACGCGCACTCTCACGTGCACTCTCACGCGCTCTCTCACGCGCTCTCTTACGCGCTCTCTCCCGCGCTCTTTCACGCGCTCTCTCACGCACTCCCTCACACGCACTCTCACGCGCACTCTCACGCGCACTCTCACGCGCTCTCTCACGCGCTCTCTCACACGCTCTCTAACGCGCACTCTCACGCGTCTCCCATGCGCACTCTCACGCGCTCTCTCACGCACACTCTCACGTGCACTCTCACGTGCACTCTCACGCGCTCTCTAACGCGCACTCTCACGCATCTCCCATGCGCATTCTCACGCGCTCTCTCATGCACTCTCTCACGCGCTCTCTCCCGCGCCTCTAACGCACTCTCGCACGCGCTCCCTCACACGCTCTCTCACGCACACTCACGCCCTCTCTCACGCGCTCTCTCACACGCACTCTCACGCGCTTTCTCGCACACACCCTCACGCGCTCTCTAACGCGCACTCCCACGCGTCTCCCATGCGCACTCTCACGCGCACTCTCACGCACTCTCTCACGCGCTCTCTCACGCGCTCTCTCACACGCTCTCTCACGTGCCTCTCACGCGCACTCGCACGCGCACACTCACGCGCTCTCGCACGCGCTCTCGCACGCGCTCTCTCACGCGCTCTCTCACGCGCTCTCTCAAGCGCTCCCTCACGCGCTCTCGCACGCGCTCTCGCACGCCCTCTCTCACGCGCTCTCTCACACGCTCTCTCAAGCACTCCCTCACGCGCACTCTCATACACACTCTCACGCGCTCTCTCACGCGCTCTCTCACGCGCTCTCTCCTGCGCCTCTCACGCACCTCTCACGCGTACTCTCACGCGCACTCTCACGCGCTCTCGCACGCCCTTTCTCACGCGCTTTCTCACGCGCTCTTTCACGCGCTCTCTCAAGCGCTCCCTCACGCGCTCCCTCACGCGCTCCCTCACGCAATCTCTCACGCGCTCCCTCACGCGCTCTCTCATGCGCTCTCTCACGCGCACTCTCACACGCACACTCACGCCCTCACTCACGCGCGCTCTCACGCGCTCTCTCACGCGCTCTCTCACGCGCTCTCTCACGCGCTCTCTCACCCGCTCTCTCACGCGCCCTCTCACGCGCTCTCTCACGCGCTCTCTCACGCGCTCTCTCACGCGCCCTGTCACGCGCTCTCTCCCGCGCCTCTCACGCACCTCTCACGCGCACTCTCACGCGCACTCTCACGCGCTCTCGCACGCCCTTTCTCACGCGCTTTCTCACGCGCTCTTTCACGCGCTCTCTCAAGCGCTCCCTCACGCGCTCCCTCACGCGCTCCCTCACGCAATCTCTCACGCGCTCCCTCACGCGCTCTCTCATGCGCTCTCTCACGCGCACTCTCACGCGCACACTCACGCCCTCACTCACGCGCGCTCTCACGCGCTCTCTCACGCGCTCTCTCACGCGCTCTCTCACGCGCTCTCTCACGCGCTCTCTCACGCGCCCTCTCACGCGCTCTCTCACGCGCTCTCTCACGCGCTCTCTCACGCGCCCTCTCACGCGCCCTCTCACGCGCACTCTCACGCGCACACTCTCGCACTCTCGCACGCCCTCTCTCACACGCTCTCGCACGCGCTCTCTCCCTCGCTCTCTCAAGCGCTCCTTCACTCGCTCCCTCACGCGCTCCCTCACGCGCTCTCTCATGCGCTCTCTCACACGCTCTCTCAGGTGCTCCCTCACGCGCTCCCTCACGCGCTCCCTCACGCAATCTCTCACGCGCTCCCTCACGCGCTCTCTCATGCGCTCTCTCACGCGCACTCTCACGCGCACACTCACGCCCTCACTCACGCGCTCTCTCACGCGCTCTCTCACGCGCTCTCTCATGCGCTCTCTCACGCGCTCTCTCACGCGCTCTCTCACGCGCTCTCTCACGCGCTCTCTCACGCGCCCTCTCACGCGCTCTCTCACGCGCTCTCTCACGCGCTCTCTCACGCGCTCTCTCACGCGCTCTCTCAAGCGCTCCCTCACGCGCTCCCTCGCGCGCTCCCTCACGCGCTCTCTCATGCGCTCTCTCACGCGCTCTCTCACGCGCTCTCTCACGCGTTTGCTCCCGTGCACACGCTCTCCCTCTCGCTCCGTCTCTTCCCTTCTTCAAATGAAAGTGCAATGCAAGAAGAGACCAATTAATACACAAAAATTACGAAGAAGCAAAAAAGAAAGAGAGAGAAAATCAGAGGGGAAGGGTAGATGAAAGGACCGGGAACGCACCTGATAACAACGGTGCCTCAGAAAACAACCCGCGCTGGTGCACCAACCCGCGCTTGCGCTCGTGCACCTGTCGCCGGAGGCGACGGCGGGGAGGGAAGGAGAGGCGACGGCAGGGAGGAGGGAGAGGCGACGGCGGAGAGGAGGGAGAGGCGACGGCGGAGAGGAGGGAGAGGCGACGGCGGGGAGGAGGGAGAGGCGACGGCGGGGAGGAGGGAGAGGCGATGGCGGGAGGAGGGAGAGGCGACGGCGGGGAGGAGGGAGAGGCGACCGCGGGGAGGAGGGAGAGGCGGCCGCGAGGAGGAGGGAGAGGCGACCGCGGGGAGGAGGGAGAGGCGACCGCGGGGAGGAGGGAGAGGCGACCGCGGGGAGGAGGGAGAGGCGACGGCGAGGAGGAGGGAGAGGCGACCGCGGGGAGGAGGGAGAGGCGACCGCGGGGAGGAGGGAGAGGCGACCGCGGCTGGGAGCGAGAGAGGGGCGATGGCGGGATGGGAGGGAGCGGCGACGACGGGGTGAGAGGGAGAGGCGACGGGGCGGAGTAAGGGAGAGGATATAGGGATGGGAGGAGAGGCGACGGCTGGGTGGGAGAGAGTGGCGGCGGCAAGGTGTTTGGTTCAGATGGTAGGTAAGTCGCGACTGCAGATTTGAGAATGGGTGGGTTCGGAGGGAGAAGTACCTTGGGTGGGGAGAGGAAAGGGCACAGTATACTATCAAGAACCAAGAACCAAGAACCAAACAACCAAGAACCAAGAAGTGACAGCGTCGAATTCGAATAGGCAGGTGTGAAAGGGAAAAGATACACTATTTTCTCGTGACAATGACATCTAATATTTTGGGCCTATTCGCTTGTGACATTCTTAAGGTGATATAATTCTGAAGCTGTCACATTGGCTATATGATTGTTATGAGTTGTAAAAGAGAGTGCGCAGGTAAACGAATAACGAGACTGTGATTAACTGATCTGAGAATACAATGAAGGCACAGACTAATGTAGGGGCTAGCCTAGCTAGGAGGGAACCTCGGACGAGCGAGGTAGGGTGCAGGTTTGGCGATTGGGAAATGCCGAAGGCGACGCGAGGAGCCTCGGCAGCGTTGAAATCGGCCGAACGTGCGAAGTCCGAAAATCGGGCTGTACGCGAAGCAGTCAACCCCGATAAGGAATTCGGGAAAATTCCTTACACTCCCCCCCCCCCCCTTAAGAAAGGCGGTCAATGTCCGAAACACGCCGTCGTGCCAAGTAATCACGAACAAGTGACGAAGCGTTGAGCGAGTCGGAGTGCACCCACGTGTCGTCTTCACTGGTGCGGTCAGTCCAACGGACTAGGAAATCCACGTGGCGACCAGCTGCGTCAAGTCGAACCCGATGTGCCAAAATCTTTGACGGGCCAAGAGTCGGCTCCGGTACAGGTCGGGCAGTGGGGGCAGCTTGTTGCCTCGCGATGTCGGTCGTGGCTGGTACGAATTTGCGAAGCAAGCTGACGTGGAAGGCGTCATGAATGCGCCAGTCGTCGGGTAGCAGCAGCTTCGCGGTGACGGGTGTCACCATCTTGATAATCTTGAAAGGCCCACAAAATCGTGGCCGTAATTTCGACGGGCCGGGCAGGCGCAGGTTCTTCGTGTCAAGTAGCACTAGTTGCCCAGTGGTCAAAATGAGTTCCCGGCGTAGAAGGTCAGTGTATTTTCGGGAAGTGATATTCGCCTTGCGAATTGCGTCTGCGGCCTTTTCGCGGACTTCCTGAAGCTCCGTCACAAAAGTTTGTGACCTCGGAACGGGGTTGTAAATGGAAGTTGCCGTAGGTACCGTCGGGTCCATCCCGTAATTCAAGAAGAATGGGGAGTGATTAGTCGTACTAGACGGGGCGTTGTTGAAGGCGAACTCCAACATGGCGAGTGATTCTTCCCAGCGGGCAGGGTCGGGGCAGTTTGTCCTGATCATCTGCTCCATGGTCTGATTGGTCCGCTCGGTCTGGCCGTCCGTTTGTGGATGATATGCCGACGAGAACTGTAGTTTCGTGCCGTACTGCGCCCACATCTCCTTCCAGAATTTCGATGTAAACTTCGGGTCGCGGTCGCTGATGATCGCTGAAGGGATGCCGTGCAGTCGCACGACCGTTGAGATGAAGAGGCGCGCAGTTCCTTCGGTTGTGATTGTTGTTCGGCATGGGGCAAAGTGCGCCATCTTCGTGAAGCGATCGACGACGACGAGTACAGCGTCGTTGCCGGACGGCCCAGCTGGCATCCCCGTGACAAAATCCATTGTCACTTGCTGCCACGGTCGTTCGGGTGGCTCGAGGGGTTGCAGCAGTCCAGCTGGTCGTTGACGTGTCGATTTCATGGCTTGGCACACCCTGCATGAGGACACATATCGCTGCACGTCGTTAGATGAATCAAGCCAGTAATATTGACGGTGCAGTAATTTTTGGGTTTTGTCAACCCCGAAGTGTCCGGAGAAGTTCGAATCGTGGACCTCCTGGATAAGGAGTTCACGCAGCAGCCTGTAAGCGGGAACCCAAATCCGGTCGGTTCCGGCTTTTAGGTAATAATCCCCTTTTTGCGTCGTGGCCTGCTGGTGGTTCCCAGTCGTGAAGAACGGGTCCGTAGTGTATCCGTGGGTGAATAGTCCGATAAGTAACGGGTTCGAATGGGTAATGAGTACTGCAGCGGATTGTACCGTCGGTCGGGTCAGGGCGTCGGCGATATTATTCGCCCCTTTCTTGTACGTGATGCGGTAGGTGAAGTGGCTCTCCATGTAGTCCAGCCACCGAATTTGTCGCGGGTTGAGGTTGGGCTGGGCTCGCAGGTACTGTAGGGACTTGTGGTCCGTGCGAACAGTGACGTCGGCGCCCACCAAGTAGTAGTGTGAGAGTAATACGAGGAATGAATGAACTAGAAATGAGATGGGTAGAAATAGGGAACCCTAGAATTGCTGTACCCCCTATTGTCTAACCCACTACAGCCTAAACAGGCTATAACAAATGTTTGACACACCCCCATAGGCAAAGTGGGGGAGAACAAGAGGTCACAAGACCAGTCAAGAGAAGCAAAGCAAGCTCAGGGTGGATCTCAAGGATACCACACAAATTCCGAGCACAAGCAAGTGGTCACAAGACCAGTTCACATGTAGTTTGATAATACAACAAGAAGTACAGTGATCACAACCTTGCAAGTGTAAACATGCAAGTAGAAATATATAAGGATCACAGTACAAGCAGAGTCAAGAAGTAAGCAAGTGAGGCACAGTAGGCACAAGGCCTAGAACAGTACAGAAACGCTGATGATCACAAGGCTGAAGGGCCTTGGTGAAGACATCAGCAGTGTTGGCCCGAGTGGCCACGTAAGCAAGACGAAGCTGACCACGCTGCTGCAACTCTCGAGCAAGGAAGTAGCGCAGAGCGATGTGCTTCGTTCTGTGCTCCAGTCTGTGCTCCTGACACAAGGCAATCATGGCCTTGTTGTCGACGTACAGCACTGGAGGAGAACGAGGCGGCTCGCCAAGGTCGGTCAGCAGGTAGGTGAGCCAGCGTAACTCCTGTGCAGCCATGGCCCCTGCGTAGATCTCAGCCTCACAGCTGGAGCTGAGAACAGAAGATGAGCGGGTAGACCGCCACGAAACAGAGCCGGAGCCAAGGCTGAAGGTGTAACCCTGTGACGACCGCTGAGTAGACAAGTCGTCAGCCCAAGAAGCGTCTTCGTGACCAGTGAGGACAACTGGACCTCGCCCTCCAAGCACGAGCCCCATGCCCGACGTACTGCACAAGTAGCGCAACACCCTCTTAGCAGCATCCATGTGCTCCTTCCTGTGTCGGCCAGGAGCAACATAGCGTGCTAGGATGCTAAGAGGGTAGGCTAGGTCAGGTCGAGTGCAGGTCATCAAGTACATGAGGCAGCCCACAAGCTCTGGATACGGGCCACTCGGCTCTACGGACTCGTCCGAAGGTGGAGCTGAGAGCGAGTGACCGGTAGGCAGAGGAGTGGACTGTGGCGAGGAGTACGTGAAGCGGCAGCGCTGAAGGACCTGCTGCACCATGTGTGACTGAGTCAAGGTAATGGTGCGCTGTGCTCTGTCCCGGGTGATCCGCAAGCCAAGATAGCTTGTCAGCTCACCCAGGTCTGTGCACGTGTGTCTCTTCTGCAGCTCCGGCTTCACGTGGGCGAGTGCCTCAGTGTCAGCAGTAGCAAAGACCAAGTCGTCTACGTACACGAGAACGTAGAACGGCGGCAGAGTGGTGTCGGTGCGTAGAAACAGCGACGGGTCAGCAGTAGAAGGAGCAAACCCAAGAGCAGCAAGAGTAGTCCTCAGTGTGTCGTGCCACTCACGGGGTGCCTGGCGGAGACCGTAGACTGGCCGCCAGAGGCTCCACTGGGTACCAGGAGGAAACGACCCAGTGAAGCCAGGTGGGCGGCGCAGCCAGATCTCCTCGTGCAGGCTGCCCTGTAGGAAAGCCGTGCTGAAGTCAAGAGAGTGGAGCTCGTAGTCACGCTGAGCGGCGACGTGCAGCAGAACCCGAAGAGTGGTCATCTTCGGGGTAGGGGAGAAGGTATGGAAGAAGTCAACTCCCTCACGCTGACTGAAGCCTCGTGCAACGTAACGCGCCTTGGTGACAGGCGGAGAACCCGGCGGCCGCTTCACCCTGAAAATCCACATGCCACTGACGATGTTCACCCCAGGTGGGGGAACCTCGTCGACGTAGGTGCCTGTGGACTTCCAGGAAGCCATCTCTGCGTCCATGGCTGTCTGCCACTGAGAGGAGTAGAGACCCTCCATCGCCTCTGCGTAGGAGCGTGGGGTCGGGATGTCTGGTGCATCCGGGTCTCCCTCAGGGGCAATCAGCATGGACACGAGATGAGGTAAAGCAGCGGCAAAGCACTCAAACTCCTCCTTTCTGTCCTCAAGAACGTCTGTGCCAAGAGCACACTCACCCCCGAAGGACGGAGGACAGACAGACTCAGACTCAGCAACAAGGCTAGCGGCGTAGTCTAGACGACAGGCGGCAGCAAAGTCAACAAGCTTAGCCACTAGAGCAGACGCAGCAGTGGACTCAAAGGAAGGGTCAGTGACAACAGTAGCGAGGAAACGCGTGACAGTAGGACTGGCAGCACGAAGAGAGTCAGACCCCGGGTCCGGACCGTCAGGAAGAGAGGACGCAGGAGGAGACGGCAGAGGGACACGCTGTGGAGCAGTGGAAGGACGCAGAGTCATATAGTGAGTGCCAGGGACAGGAGGAGGACGCTCACGTAGAACACGACGACCAGTGCGGACAGCGCGGACAGGTGACTCTGGACGAGACTCAGGCGACGCAGGACGAGACTCAGGCTCACGACGCTCCGTAAGACCTCTAGTCGGTCCAGAGTAAGGAGAAGGACCAGGCAAGGGAGAGGCTGGCTGTAACTGTGACTGCGACTGGACAGGCGGTGGACTCAGTAGGGGAGGAGTAGGACCGGTAGAAGGCGGGAGGCCAAGACCCTGCTGAAGGAGCGGAACGTAGTACGGCCGCGGCCGCGCAGCGCCTCCTGAACCAGCAGAGACAGCACCAGCACCCTC